CATTGCCCAGCTCTCCCAGTCTAACTTTTAAGCCTGGTGTGGTATTAGGTATATACCTGTAATATCAGTCTGACCTAAAACAGACCTGGTGCAAAAATAAAGCAAAATAATATAAATGAAATAAAAAATGTCTTGTTTACTATTTCTCCAACTAGAATGAATCTTTGTGTTCTTTAACACTTGGGACCGAGAAGACTGTTTCTGGAATCTCAAGTTCAGGGAAGGACATCAACTGATTAACCTTACAAGCCCAATGGGGGTTCAGTTAATGTCTTTAAGTTTCTATATAGAGAATTAAAATAGGAACATATCAATATATAGACATCATTCTAAGCATCTGCAGTGGAAGACTACAAAAGTTTTTATATAACAAACCAACAGTTTCTTGGGCAGCAAGTGTTTAGGTATTCGTTCAAATACATTGACTCCTCACTTGGACCCAACCAAGATAACTAAAAGCAGTATAAAAGCCTGGCATCTGTGCCTTCATTTTCTGTCTCATATACTTCAAATGAAAGGACAGATGTTAAGTCAGCCTCAACCTTTCCTCGAGTTACTTAGGAATCATGGGACAGACAGCTGAATCTTGTAGGACAGGTGGGAGTAATTATCCACGAGGGCATACCCCTGCAGCAGAGTGATACCTGTAGGAACCAAGATAACTCCAGCAAGAGAGGGAAGATGACAGGGATAAGGGCTTGGGCTCATCTTGCAAAACCAAAACTGAGACAACTATCAACCAGATGTCCTTATCAAGACTCCTTAATTATGGGTCTTACATTCTTTCCCCAGCTCCTCTGTTGCAACCTAAACTTCATGCTGGTACTCTGCAAGGATTATCTTGGACTCACTGGACCCCTTTGTCCTTTTCAACATTGCAACATCAAATAAATCTCCTTTTTTCTGGTTTTCACAAAGACTTGTCTTTTTAGTGTATAATGGGGATGGGTTGCTAGGGCCCAGGCTTCTGCAACCCCCAAAAAACTCGTTATAATTCCTAAAATGGATATATGCTTCCCTATCTCCCTAAACAACTCCAATGCAATTTTGTGTTCTTTACTCAGCATAATTTTACAGGACTGCAATGAAAAGTGAAGCCCCAGAGAATTGACAGGACAGTTATGACCACTTGCTCCACTAACTAGCCACAGGAAAGAAAGTTCAGCATCCTTTCAAATTTTACCTTTCCTATATTTTAAACTGTTACCCTGAAAATGACAGCTGCTCTTCTCAGTAAGTCCTCTTCCCTGCCTTACAAACTGACTATATTTGATCTGTAGAAAGTTGTTTTTAAAAACTGACATAATTAGGGGGGTGGTGATGTAGGTCATCACCTACATCTAACATGCACAAAGCCCTGGGTTTAACCCCTAGCACTACATAAACAGGGTGTAATTCCAGAACTGGAGGCAGAGACAAGAGGATCAAAAGTACAAGGTCATCCTCAGCTACAGAGTGCAGTTCAAAGCCAGATTGGCCACATGAGACCTCTGACTTAACAAAATTATTAGAATTACATACCCTCAGAATTAGGTTAAGTAAATGCAAAGAGGCATTTCTTTCCCAGCTGTTAGCTACAGTTCTGGTCGGGCTAGGCAATGAGTTACTACATCATACTAAAAACTGAAACTACTGCATGATGAATTGCATCAAGTTCAGGCAGGTCTGGGTTAAATTTGGTTGTCCTGCTTTAATAACTTCTTGAACCATTCATTTGTTTTCCAGCAACAACTAATGCTGCAGGAGCATTTGCTATGTGTCAGGTTACTGCCCCGTCTCACCTTCACTGTTGCTAATTAATCCTTCAGATTAGTCCATGAAGACAGCACCAGGCTGGCAAAATAGCTCAGCACATGGTACTTGCTGCCAAGCCTGATGGGAGTCCTGACAGCCACACTGGAAAGAAGATAACCTACTTCCAAAAGTTGTCCTCTGGCCTCCACATATCTTCTATGTCATGAGTGCACCCCATCCAAAAAATGTAGAGAAAAAATACAGCACTACCCCCACTACCAGTTTCTAAAGGTAAGTAATTTGATTCCAAGTCACTATTAAGGACTAGACAATCTAGCAGCCCGGAGCAGGGCCGGAGCTCTTAGCTACCTACTCATTCAACAACCATGTGAACCCCTAACACTCTCTAGGCATTGATGCATACCAGTGAATGAAGACATGGCAGCTCAGCTGTAATCCACATTCTTGGGAAGCAGAAGTGTGGTGAGTTTGAAGCCAGTCTGGGTTAAGAGAGTCCGGCCTCCGAACAGACAAAGACAGATCAAATGTTTTTGCCTGCTGGGCATGATGTCACAAACCTTTAATCCCAGCATTCCTGAAGCAGACATAGATCTCTGAGTTCTGGGCCAGCCTGGTCTATAGATCAAGTTCCAGGACAGTCAGAGCTACATAATGCAGAGACCTTGTCTCAAACAAAGCAGTTTGTGTCCTATGAAACTTACATTCTAGCAGGGGGTTGGACCAACAATAAAATATGAACACAAATGTAAATCATGTGTCATGTTACTCATTTACATCACTTCAAACTGCTAATAGCCAAGTAGGGATGTGTTATTTTACTTACAAAAAGGGTCATGTCGCTTAAAGAGAGTAAGAAGGCTCAGCAGTGGGAGGTGGGTAAGTGTTAATTAGACAGAGTAGCCAGGAGGACCTCAATGGATAACCCTTAGAAGGAGAAAAGGGCTCAGGAGTTTTCTTGACACTGCATCACATCTGGCAACATCAGGCTAGGAAGCAGTAGTGAGAAAACAGAAGTGAAATGTTTTGTAAACTAGGAAGTTCTAGGTCTGTGGCTTTTGTTATTTAATTACATTTCTTTTGCCAGCTTAGTACATGTGTGTATGCCCACACTTGTGAAGGTGGGAAGACATCCTGCACGAGTCCTCTCCTTTCATTATGCAGGTGGTCCGCCTCACCAGCTTGACTGCAGCCAAGTTCTTACTCGGTATTACTTCAAGCTCCCTGCTTCATAGCTCACTACAGCAGAAAGACAAATAGAAATTTTGATTCAAAATATTTCTCTTGCTCCCAAAAAATATTAAAGCTTTACACAAAGAAGGTAACGGGACATGTCTGAAAACTTGTAGGTCAAATTGCAGTCTGAACAAGCCCTCAGAAATCTAAGGGCCGTGTTTTATTTAACAGAAGAAAATGTAGTAAATAGTACTGTCTCAAGTAGACAGGAGCCTTCCTAGTTCTGCCAAACCATTCTACCAGATAACCATTACTTGCGATATTTGGTGAGGGTTACCAAGTTAATTTATAGGGAAATGATTGGCATGCAGAGTTCTATAAGAGACAGTCCTTAAGTTTAAGAAATTTTACATTAAAAAACTCAAAAAAGTGGTAAATTTTTAGAATTTATTTGCATTTAAAGGAACTGTTGACAATGACTCACTGAAAGAATCCAAGTGGGAAAATATAGGCAACACTGATAAAACATATGTTTATTCCACTGAGCAAAACTTCTTAGATGGTTACTGACATGAAACTGAGTGCTTCACACTGTTCTAAACACATGGTGGTATAATTAACAATATTCAATCACAGCTTTCTTTCCCGAATATATAAAAATTAAAATACCAATTAAAAAACTAATATATCTCCTCTTTAAATGTTTCTTACAGATACAATCTCAGCATTTTTAATAGTGGTAATTTAAGAGATTTACTTTGCTCACAAGGTAAGCGACAATCTATCGAAGGCTCATAGTGCAAATAAAAAGTTTAAGAATGCAGCAACTGACATTTCTAAAAATAAAAAACCATAAAATTCTTAGAAGGTTCATGCAAAAAGCTGTACTAAGCAGATGGCTGCAGAACTAGAATGCTTGGTAATTTTACTGGGAACATGAATGGGACTCCTCGTGTTTGCAGATTCAACTTGAACTCTCATCTTAGGCTTTGTATTTGGCTTTCCCAGTTTCACTAATGACACAAATATGCTGCAAAAGAAAAGAAACTCACATTAGAAAAATATATTCTGGAGAGGTAAGAGCAACATTAGAGAATTGTCTGGGTTCCTACCAAACAAGGTACTTTGGACCAGTAACTTGAAGAGAACACATTTTGAAAACAAAGCAGAAATATGTTCCATTAGTGTACTTTTTTCTTTCTCTTATTATGTAACTTTGAAAAACATATAAAGCCGGGCATTGAAGGCATATCAAAATAGGGATCAGTGTGGCTAGGTGATGATGGCACAAGCCTTTAATCCCAATAGAGAGAGAGATGGATTCTCTGTGAGTTCGAGGCCAATCTGGTCTACAGAGTGAGTTTCAGGACAGCCAGTACTACAAGATAAATCCTGTCTCAAAGAAAATAGGGTAAGTGATTAAAAAAATGAAATAAAAACTGTACTTTGGGCCTTTAATCCCAGCACTTGAGAGGCAGAGGCAGGCAGATCTCTGTGGTCTGGTCTACAAATTGAGTTCCAGGACAACCAGAGTGGTTAAACAGAGAAACTCTATCTTGAAAACCAATCAAACAAACAAAACTGCTTTAGATAATGCTGTCCACGTAGTCTTCTTAATTTCTCCTGGACCATGTTCATAAACTCACCTGAGGGATTCTTGCCTCCAGAGTGGGAGGCAGGTATCTGAAGTAGGGTCAATCATAAGATTTAAATGGAATTATTTATTTCTTATTTATGACTATATTTATCATGTGAAATAACAATGAGGCAGTTATTGTAAATTAAGGCTGTTCAACTATTTCAGCCAGCAAGAAGTGTCACCCTAGCCTGGCCAAGTTCCAGTTCTAAGGACGTCTGTACTTGACTACAGCTTTATGTGACTAATGGGAACCATCAGTCTGGTCAAATGACGAGGTGCTAGAAGGAGAAAACAATTCTTTCCTTTCCTAAATTTTTATGTGGGTTTTTTGAAAAATGAGAGCGAGAAAAAAAGAAACATTACTTACATTCAAATCCCTGAAGTACTCATTATAGTCAAGGGCATATCCAACAACAAACTTGTCTGGAATTTCAAATCCAACAACTGTAAAGAATCACAGTTTATTATTTAGACAGAGAAAACAGTACTTTCAAATCTAATATTTGCAAATGTGCCTTCTTTACAAACGTTCTCTAAAATAACTCTAAGCAATTTTAGTCACCTTTCAGCTATGATAGATAAAATGATCACCCAAAGGGCATCTACTTACAGTCTGGCCTATATCCAACACTTCGAGAGGTCCTTTTCACCAGCAAGCTGTTAATTACAAAATATTACATGTGACATATGGAAAGACAATAGAACATTATAAAAGAAAACATCATCAGTGTTCTTAAATAGTATCATCTGCATTTAGAATAAGGTCAGTTTTGCATACCCATAGGAAGACAAATGGAGACCCACATCAGAGTTTACAACAAGACAAGGCCCCTGACTGATCTCCACCTGGAACCTGATAAGATGCTTCTTCTGAGAGTGGAATCCTAACTACCCATATGTCCTTTGAAGTGCAGCTACTGAGAATAATGAATGGGCCAAGGTACCAACACACAAAGATTCAAAAATAAGGGATCTAGATTCAGAATCCTTGAAATACAACCCCTCAACTTATAAAGGAGGTGGGTAAAAAATGCTCTTTCATCAAGACTCTTAATAACTGCCTCACAAATGGGAACTTTAGGCTACAAAACAAGTGTGTTAAAAGTTGGTGGCGCATGCCTTTAATCCCAGCACTCGGGAGGCAGAGGCAGGCGGATCTCTGAGTTCGAGGCCAGCCTGGTCTCCAGAGGGAGTGCCAGGATAGGCTCCAACGCTACAGAGAAACCCTGTCTCAAAAAAAAGAACCATTTTTTAAAATAATTCTTATTTATTTACTTACTTATTTATTTACTTATTTATTTATTTATTTATTTATTTATTTATTTATTTATTTATTTATTTATTTATTTATTTATTTATTTATTTATTTATTTATTTTGTATACAGTCTTCTGCCTGCATGCCAGCAGAGGGCACTAGATCTCATTCAACGTGGTTGTGAGCCACTATGTGGTTGCTGGGAATTGAACTCAGGACCTCTGGAAGAACAGTCAGTGCTCTTAACCGCAGAGCAGGCCAGCCACAAAAGCCACAGAGAAACACCATCTTGAACTCATCCCCCCCTCCCCCCAGCAAAAAAAGTATGTATTTTACCACTGAGCTACCTACTCCATTTTTTAGTTAATTATATTTTCCTTTTTTAATTTTAGAAGCACTCTTATTTACATATCAGTCCCCCATTCCCTCACCCTCCCATCCTCCTATGCTCTCTGCCGACCTCCCCCAACCCACCCCCATCCATGGATAGTGAAGCCCTCCACGGGGGACCATCAACGTCCCTCACATCATTTGGAGTTAATTATATTTTCAACTGTTTGACTCTTGCTAAAAACATAATAGCTTTGAGCAGTTTCATTTTTTAAAATTACTTTGCTGTTATTGAGTACTTATAGAAATCATGAATTTGCAACTGTAATTTGATTACAGAATTAATTACATACAGCTCTAAAGCTAATTATCTGAATGCTTGTCATGTATGCATACAACCCTGAGTTGAATCCCTAATACCACCAAAATAGTTAATGGCTTTCAATGTTTCTTATTTTCACAGGAAGTTGCAAATGAAAAAAATCATACAAAAGGGAGGTCTCCAGTGTCCTTTTTCAGCATATTATCAAACCAGGACATGGGCATTGATGAACTAAGTGACCATGTACAGATTTCACCAATTTTATATAAACTCATCTCTTTTTGTGCGGTTCAGGCAATTTTAGTCACATGTGGAATTATCTAATCACTACCATAATCAAGATATTTGAAACATGCAAGGCTCCCTTCTGCATTCCCTTAACCCCTGGCAACCCCTAATCTGTTCTCATCTGTATGACTTTGCCATTTCAAAGTAGGTAATTTAAGTAGAATCATACAGTTTTATTACTTTTCTTTGAGGGGGGCTTATAATAGTCTTGGGGGAAAATGGGGCAGGTAAGCAGTTTAAACAGAGCAAAACACCTGCTTTATGTACTACTGAAAGTCATAATTGGTACAGTTCCACTTAGACTTCTCTGAACTGTTGTATATCAATCAATAGTTGTTCCTGTTTACTGATGAATATGATGGTATAGGTGTACTACAGTTTTGTTCAGTTTGTCGCTTTTAATTGTGGGCTATCACAAATGGTGTTGTGAATACTCTGGTACAGATTTGAGTAGGAAGCTACGAGACAGCTATGAAAACTCAGGCTGCTTGACTTAGATTCAATGTGACCTCCTGCCTCCACTTTCCAAATGCTGACGTCACGGGTGAACCACCATACCTAGCTATCAACTTATATAAATTTTTATATCAATGTGCACTTTTACTTCTCAGGTATAAGTACCCAGTATAATTTGTAAGGCCTTCTGGTAGTTACATGTACAGTTTTCAAAAAAAAATTGTTTTCTAGAGTGGCCATACTATCATATATTCATATCAAATAATAGCTTTTCAATTTTTATTTTGGGAAAAACACAAAACACACCTGTATAGGACAACTACATTATCAAAAATTACCCATTCTCTTGAGCATATAGCACCTCCAGCAAGACAAAAACTCACTGAGGTACACTTGCACCATCTATCAGAAGAGTCCTTGAGGATGAACTGCTCAAATAGGCTTTATTAAAATGATATTCAAAGACTTTACAAGATACTTTGATCCTTTAAAATGGTTTATAAAAGGCAGCTAATTGGTCAGCAGAGATGGTTCAGTGGGTAAGGAAATTGCTGCCAAGTCTACCAAGCTGTATTCTACCCCCACCTACGACCAACAAGTTAGAGACCTAACTCCCCCAGGCTATCCTCTGACCTACACAAGTGCATGTGGCACATGCCCACATCCCTGCCACAATAAATAAGTGTAATTCAAAAAATGTCAAGAACCAGTTAATCATTCAGGGAAAAAAGAAAAACAGACCCGAACTTTCCTCTACACAAAAAACACAGATTAGTCAAAGATTTGAAAATAAAAATGAAATTGTAAAGTAAAAACAAAGCAAAATTCAACAACAACAAAACAATGTTACTTCTAACAATAAAAAAAAAAACAACTTAAACTGGGCATTGGTGTAGCACACCTTTAATCCCAGCACTTAGGAGGCAGAGAGGCAGGCGGATCTCTGTGAGTTCGAGACCAGCCTGATAAAGCCACAGAGAAACACTGTCTCGAAAAACAAAAGCAAAAAACCCAAAAACCCCAACTTAAAATAACAGAAGCCTCAACTGAGCCAGGTACCCTGTATTCAAATCATCTCTCTACAGCTTATTAGCTCTGTCTGTGGGCAATTCCCTACGCTTCAACATTCTCATCTGTAAGATGGCGATAACAACTGTTGTAGGATCAAACTATGTAACTAAGGATAAAAACAGAAAGAACTATGAAAGCAAAGCCAAACATCTAGATACGGCCAGGAAGATATGTGACTGCTTCAGAAAAAAAGCAGGTATTGTAAAATGTCAATGATGACACAAAACAGGATGCCTTATCCACCACTCAACTTCAGGAGATCCACATGTTCAGAGCCCAACCCTATGGGTATCGCCGGTTTCTGTTTCACAAGGGGGCTCCTAGATCCATCCTTGCATGCTACTCAGGACAACTCTGATATAAATAGCAAGTGGCAAAACCAATTGTTACTTGACTCTACATATGTGTGAGAGTTCTGTATCTAAACCTTGTGTATCAAGTTGGTCCTAAAGCACAGGTACCTGAGTTTGCCTCTTCAGTATTCACATAAAAATCTGGCCATGGCTGTATGTGTTTGTGACTCCAGTACTGTGAGGGTGGAGAGAGATGCAAAAGCTCACCCACCAAACTCCTGC